ACCCACGAAATTCTTGGCTTCATTGGACTTTTGGTTTTTTGATGGAAATGCACATGAGGCAGAAGATCAAGTGCCTAGGTCACGGAAACTGTAGCCCAGAGGAAATAAAGTTGGGAATTCATGGAGTGTATGGGGGAGAAAGGAGGGAATGAACATCCCAAACTGTGGGATGGAGTGCAGGCCAAGTTCAACCAGATCTTCAAAGGGCAGAGGGACCCCTTTTGCCATCTGGGCTATAGAGGAGTTGGCAGCTGAGGACCAAGAAGCTGCGATGCTGCCCAGGGGGCAGCAGACTGATTGCCCGTCCCCTCAATAAAAACACGAAGGCATGGTCCTATCCATCATTGCTGAGCCTTGTAGCATCACTGGGAGGAGGAACCTACCCTTCACTCTGCTCCAGCCATGCTAAACTATGTGTAGCTCTCGGAACACCATACGCTTTTGCCTCTGGGCCTTAGCACGTGCTGTTCCTTCACTCAGGGACAAACCTTCCCCCAGTTTCTTTCCTCTGGGGAAATACTACATATCCTTTAAGATTCAGCTCAGCCATCTCTTTCTGCAGAAACCTTTCCTCACTTCCCAGCTTGGGTGAGCTGTTGCCTTTGTGCTTCTACCAGTTCCTGTACTTTGCTTTACCAAAGCATTGGTGACTCTGTACTGGCCTCACAGCTCTGGGAGCCCCTGCAGCAGAGCTCTCCATAGAGGGGGTATACAAGATGACCCACTAGGGTTTAAGAAAAAAAAATGTTAAAACTTCTATTGCTATTTTTAAAAATCTCACTTTATTCTGAAGTTAGACTGCCTGCTTTTTAGCCACATGGCTTCGTTATGTTACTTAACCTCTGTACCTCAGTTTCCTCTTCTGCAATATGGGAAACTATTAGACCCTCCCTCAAAAGGGTTTCATGAAGATTAAATGAGTTAATAAGTGTAAAGAACTCAGAGCAGGATCTAATAATGCATTATAAATGTTCAGTACAAGTTAGCTTTCATTAATTATACATGTACTATGTGCATATCATAAGTAAATATGTGCATATCATAAGTAAATACACATATATTGGGAATATGTGTTCAAAATTTTTTACTAATAGGAAACTCAATTGGGAAAGTTTGCAGGTAAGGCCCTGGGGACAATATTCAGGTTTGATTAATCTCTGTATCCTTAGAGCGTAGTGCTGGCCCAGTGCAGAGAGGGTCTTAATAGCATTGACAACTGTGGATGGCAAAAATCTTGGTAGATATTGAAGCAGAGAACAGGGGTCTGGTTCAGGCTCTGTTACTTATTTCTATATGACACTCACTGCGGCACTTACCTTCTTGGAGCCTTCATTCTCCTCTTCTGTAGGATGCCAGGCTTTAGTAAGACAAAGGCTAATTCCAGGCTGGATTTGGGGGCGAGGAGCGCCCTCTTGTGTCCTTATGGTGTTCTGGTCTCTGTGATCCTCACCTCCATTCCTCCTCTACAGGACAGATGATCCTGAAATGGACGTTCTTACCTTACCCTGCAGAGCTGCTTTTCCAGCGTCAGATCCTGACACTCTCTCCAATGTCTCCAGCCCTCCCAGCACCTCACACTGTCACACTCTCTCCCCACTCAACCTCCCCATCCCAGTTTTCCTTACGCAGTGTGGGACTCATAAGAAATCTTTGGAGTCACATGCCCAGTAGTTCAAGTTCTGGCACTTATTAGCTATGTGATCTTGAGAAGGCTTCAT